CCCCCCCCAAACAAGATTTTAAAAACCCGCTCAAAGTCCCTTAATCAAAAATAATTAAACAAACATGTGTATACAAATAAACAAAACAAAACAAACAAACAAGCAACAACAAAAAAAGAAAGACAAAGTACATTAAAATAGGAAAAGACACAGGAATATCTAAAAATAACAACTAAAAAAAACAATATTTACAAAAACAAAATCATTATAACGAAAAAAAAAGATCCTCTCCTCTAACGCATCAGAAATCAACGAGCCACATCGCTGACCTAACCATAAAGGGATCGAAATCGCTGTAAGTCCAGTCAGTCAGTCCGTAATGTAAAACGCATGTCTCAATATTTCCCAGCACAATAACTTATCTAAAAAAAAAAAAAAGAAAAAGAAAAAGAAGAAAGAAAGAGAAGAGAAGATAAACCGACCGACGACGATGACTACATCTGTAACAAGTTCACTGTGCAAAGATCAATAACCCATTATGTAATAATATAGATTTGTAATTTGTACCCAAACAAACATTGTGCAAAGAATCGAGTAATAATAAATTTTATATCGGTCACAGAGCGGAGAGCGATATGTAGAACTCATTCTGTGAACAACCCATGCTGATGATCAAAACAAGTGTACCATGTTTTTTTTTATTGTGGGTAAAATCTAGCTTTTTTACAATAAATTTTGTTCTTGGTTTTTGTTGTTGTTGTTGTTGTTGTTGTTGTTTTTGTTGTGTGTGTGTATGTGTGTTTGGGTGTGTGTGTGTGTGTGTGTTTGTTTGTGTGTGTGTGTGTGTTTGTTTTGTCTGCAGACTTTTTCTCTCACGAGAGTAATACTAGGTAGTATAAAAAAGTAGGTCATGTCGTTAATAAAAATACAATTTTGATGCTTCAGTTAGTGTTCACACCACCAACATTAAACTATACAGAAATCTGACATTCTCCCTCCCCCCCCCCCCTAAATCCTCAAACCAAATGGCGCTTTTTTCTGTTCTATGTTTTTTCAATGAAGTTTAGGTCTTTGTTTATCCAAACGCGCACTAACAATACTAACACACAGTTTGATCTTTGTCACACAAGACATATGGTAGGTTTAACTCAACATCAGAGAAAATCGAGCCATCGGCATGTTTCTCGCGTATCTGCTTTTTCCCGGACATTCAAAGTCAGTCTTCTTTCTGTTGGCGTTGGAGGTGGTTTGGTGGGGGGG